GCTCATTCGCAAAGCATTCACTGCATCTCCGAGTTTATCAGATATGCTGAAGACGTGCTTAATCTTTTTTTTTTTTTTTAGATAACCTCCTAGGTTTGGTCCACTCAAAAACCAATACATCTGTGGGTGAATACTGTTCAAGAGCCGCTAAAAAGGTCTAAATCCGCGACTGAAAATGCACCTTCTTACTGCCCTCGTATAAACAAAATGAATAAAAATTGTGACCCTCGACCAACCATGGATAAAGGGACTCGGAAAGAAACTCACCTGAGATGTTCGCCCAATGTGCAAGCATACCAAGGAACACACGTACAATCGAGTTCAGAGTCACCGGAACGCAAGTCTCTGGCACTCGACAAGTCTTCACAACAGGTCAGGCCACAAACGCTAACTCAAATGGGATGCTCTCATAACGGTATTCGAATCAAAGAACGCGTATCCCGTGCAGTCAAAGTATTTTGCTGCACAGCAGCCGTTGATGTCTTTCTTCTGCTCCTCCGTGTATCGAACTCATGCAGCGGAGCAATTGACCGACGCTCCAGAAACTCCACTGTTGAGGGAAAAAAAAGGGGAAAAAAACAAAAAAAACAAGATCTAGTTCTGTTGTTACGCGATCGAACATTCGATTCCCATTGGCTGCCGCATCTCCAACCGAACCATCTAGACTCGAATGACTATGCAGTTTTGTAGCGTCTCAGCTGCCGTCTCGAAGGAACAGGAGCTTCACGGAGTTGTCGTTTAACGAACAGAAACTGCTGAGTCATTCCTAAGCTTCGCGGGTACATGGATATTTGCGCACGGTCGGCGCGAACGCTCAGTCGGAGTAGAGGTTGTAACAGCTGGTGGGAACGCTCGCGCATTCGTGAAAGCAACATGAGGTTAGAGATTTCAAACGCTTCTTTCGGAAGCACGCTTCCGCGCGGCATCTCCTTCGCCGTTCGCAATGGACCTTTTCCAAATACCGACGGCACCAGGCGGTGGCTGCACGAACTAAAAATCAAGGAAGTGACCTACCTGCGCTACCATCGATAATGGGAGCTACGTTACCAGTTGCTTCGCTCTCTGAGCAGCGTCGCGTGCCCAACGCAACGAGGTAGGCCTAGCGCGACTTTAAAGAAGGAAATCCGTAGCGTCCACCCAAACGTCGTGTTTTTCTTTCCGTCCACTTTCTTTTTTTGTGTAACACAATTATATTTATGCTGCAATTACGTGTTCTACTCGTCGATTTACAGCCTCATTCCGAATTTCCTCGATTTTTTCGTGCCGACTTCCACCGCTTGGCATCGGGCGCTCGCGCGTGCGCAGAACGCTTCTCGGAAAAGGTCCATTGATCGGTGGTTTAAATAGGCCTCATGGGGCGCTGAAGCATTTAACAAATTGTGGCGCCCTTTATTGAGTAGTACAAGCTCACCTGATTGGCTCACCACTTGTGGCGCCCTCGCTGAGCTTTTTTCGTTCTTTCTAGTGCTGAAGAACGAAAAAAAAAAAAAAAACACCTTTCGACATTTCCAATTAACTGTATTCCACACCTATAAAGCAATCAAAAGTGCGGGATTCATGCCACCGCTGCAGAGCCGTATATGTAGAGAGTTTGGTCAATGGGAGGCGCGGGCAGTGCCAGGGCGTGCACCAGACTCGGAAAGAGGGCTTGGCATGCTCTCTTGACCAACCAGAAGCCGAAAAGAATCCCCTAGCGGTGGTAGCGAGAAACAGTTCTGATCAAAGGTCTGTGTTCGTATATGGTTTTAATAAGCGCGCAAGAGTGAAGTGTAGTAACTCTTCCTGGTTGAAAATAGGGTTCACGTGTTGTTTTGATCATGATCATGCAGAAAATGTAAGAAACGAATGCGCCGCTCAACTCTGTTTTGCGCGGACAGAGTGTGACCGCTCGGACGGCAGATTCCTGGCCCTCGGCGTTTGGCGTAAGGGTTATGTCGATCGTTCCGCTAGTCGCACTCTTCCACCATCATTTTAGATGAGCGTGATTGAAACATCACGTGTACCATATTTTCAGCCATCGAGAGTTACTCCAATGCAGTTATCAGGCTTGTTTCTCGCGACCACCGCCAGGGTATTATTTCCGGCTTCTGGTTGGCCGCATTCGAATTTCTGAAGACGCCCTGGAACACGCCCAGTCCGCTTTCGGCCAACGGCGCCTCCTCATTTTTCTCCTATACTTCCCAACGAATGGCCAAACTCTCTCCATATACGGCTCTGCACCGCTGCTATACTTTGTTTCACCTTAGGTCCGAGCGTGGCCGATGTTATGAGCCAAAAGCCAATCAAACAGCGTAAAAAGCGCAACGTCATGGCGTGCTCTCTGCGCCTGATAGAACTAGCCGGTGGAGGAGCACGCGCAGAGACGGCGAATACCGGCCGGTCCAGTCAACTGCAGAAAGCACGCCATGACGTTGTGCCTCTGTCGCTGTTTGATTGGCCCTTCGGCTCATAACATCAGCCGCGCTCGGACCGAAGCTGAAACGAAGTATAGAGTACGCGTTTTTATATCTATGGGTGACATCAAAACATCTGTCGTTGCGATGCCATTTTCTTCCTTTGAAAAGCGTGAAAGAGACGTTCTTAAACTCCGTCCACCATTAAGCTAACACTATACACTCTCAAGAAAAAAGGGTGTCAAAAGGTGTATTCTTACACCCTTTGTCCCATATAATACACCCCCAAACTTCAATTCGACATACAGCGCCCTATAGACTAACAGACGGCCCGAAATTTTACGAGGGGCTTGATAGCCGTGTGGTACAACTTATTAAAATAGCTAATGTACGTTTTACTGAACACGAAAAAAATAATCCGGGTTTTCTTGGCCCTACTGTAAAAACTCGGTGTTTTCTTTATGTGGTCTTTGATACGTACTTTGGCTATTTGAAATGTTGTAGCACACGGCTATCAAGCCCCTCGTAAAATTTCGGGCCCTCTGTTCGACTGTAGGGCACTGTACGTCGAATTGAAATTCTGGGTTGTATTATATGGGACAAAGGGTGTAAGAATACACCTTTTGACACCCTTTTTTCTTGAGAGTGTACAGTGTACTAGAATACAGGGTCATTTTGGGACCGAAGGCGCTCGCGAGAGGCGTGTGGTGTAGATCGCAATAGGTGTCGACACCGGCGCATCGGCAGGAGAGAGCCGTATATGTAGAGAGTTTGGCCATTCGTTGGGAAGTATAGGAGACAAATGAGGAAGCGCCATTGACCGAAAGCGGACAGGGCGTGTTCCAGGGCGTCTTCAGAAATTCGAATGTAGCCAACCAGAAGCCGGAAATAATACCCTGGTGGTGGCCGCGAGAAACGAACTTGATAAGTGCATCGGAGTAACTCTCCGTGACTGAAAATATGGTTACGTGATGTTACGGTCATCCAAAATCATGGTGGAAGAGCGCGTCTAGCGGAACGATCGACATAATCCGTACGCCAAGCGCCAAAAACCTGCCGTCCGAGCGGTCACACTCTGTCCGAGCAAAACAGGGTTCGAGCGGCGCATTCGTTTCTCACATCTTTCTGCATGATCATGAGCGAAACATCATGCGCACCCAATTTCCAACCACGAATGGTTACTACATTTCACTGTTACGCGCTTATTAAGACCATATACCAACATATACCTTTGATTAAGAGTTTCTCGCTACCACCGCTAGGGGATTCTTTTCGGCTTCTGGTTAGCCAAGAGAGCATGCCAAGCACACTTTCTGCGTCTGCTACACGCCCTGGCTCTGCCCGCGCCTCTCACTGACCAAACTCGCTGTATAGGGAGTATTCACTGGCAGCCATAGCTGTGTGCGCCACTTCTGAGCGCGTGCTGATAGCGAGCTTCCACAGTTCCCTCGCAACGTGCATTCCGCACCATCAAGATTGCCGGTCTTAGCGGGCTATTAATGTGAGCTCGTTCTAAGCATGCACTATAAACAGCACCCACAAATATGGCGTCCAGTGAATACTCCCTATCCACGGCTCTGCGGCAGCAGGGTCAGTCTGGTGGTGGCACGCGCGGACTGCAGCGACTTTCTGCTGCTCTGTCGACTGCAGCGCCGCGATTATTGTCTACAGGCGCAGCCTCAGAAGCTCCCATTGCAGAGCCGCGCCGGTCCAAACACTACCCCGTATTCTAGTACACTGTACTAACACTGCAGCCAATGCCACAAGCACGAGAGCTCGAGTTCGCTGCTTTGAAGCGTTTTTCCGCAGAACAAGCACTCGCGCTAGAAATGCACGTCTCAAAGCCAGGAGCGGCTAGCTTTAGAGCACGTGGAGCGAAAGCTCACGCTGCAGAACCCAGGGATCCTGGCAGACCAAGTTCTAGGCTGGATAAACATACACACAACCCAATTATTATTATTATTAGCGGCTGGCTCGCGCTCGTAGCTTTGACTGCAGTCTCAGCGGTTGACAAGCACCACGAAAGAGCGGCGTTCAAAATCGGCTCTTCTCTGTTGCCTGCACACGAGCAGGGGAAGGCGGACAGAGAAGGCGGACAGCGTTCCTAGCACCACCGGCGTCGACGCCTCAATGGAAAGGGAAGGAAGACCATTTTCAAACGACGCTTTTTTTTGCGCCGACGTTTGGGCAACCTTGATGTTTGCCATAAAAAACACCGGAGGTAATCGGCATCCAACGTTCCACCGAGTGCACAACTTTGTTTCTCACGGGTTTGGCCCGTGAGAAACCAAATAAACTTCAAACTTTCACCTTCTGCATCGGTGCAGAAAAGGGTAGGGCGGCGCCACTTTTGGCTTATCTCAATACACACACTGAAGTCTAAACCTTACACTTTTTCTCCCCCGTTTTTTTTTTTTTTTTTTCTTCTTCGCGGGTTTGTTGAATCCTTGTACATGATGCAAATCGAACAAAAAAAAAAGTTTCGCCAACTTCTTATATATATATATAAAACGTCCACCTGTTAGATTTTTTTTTATTCAGTCTATTGCGCTTATTTTTGTGAACTGAAAATAACAGATAAAAGAAATGACACACACACAACAAAAATAAATGATCGTCCTATTGTTTTACTTTCGAAGACTACTAACACATCCACCAAGATATGTTTGCGCGTTGGTTGTCCAGAACAGAAGCAGGACGATTTTTTCGCGCTCCGTGTGTTCAAGCGGTGGCAGAAACGACCCCCAATACCGAGCACACACACACATCCCGAAATGAGGCACCGTGACTGACGTAAGCGTCAAAGCTTGCAGGCGTATAAAAGTGAAAAAGAAAACATAAACAGACGACCTCTGTGCACTTCGAAGACTACATTTTTCGATGTGAGGCCGCTATGTCTGCCGACTGTCTCATACTATTCGTGGAAGACGTTTCATCTTCCGTTTTGCGAAACCCAATCCTTGGGACAGAATGCCCAAAGTGGTGCTGGCTACTGGCTATGCCTAAATTCCTCACAAAAAGCAAACAAACAAACACACGCGTATATCCAGATTAACAGCCAGCGTGTTGAAGATGTCTGTAGCTTGCACCTGCGAAAAAAAAAAAAAGAATTCAATTAGTATTTTTTAATATTACGTAGGGTTTTATTACAGGTGTTGTGCAACTACATAAAACCATAAAAAAAAGCTGCTTGTTTCTTTGGGAAACACCAAAGACCCTATAAATGGATAGATGGGGTTGCCGGTCTCGCTGTGCCGCTGCGTTTCTGGCAAGTCAGGTGAGACCATGACGTGACGTCACAGTGTCATGTGATGTTGTGGTATCAAGGTGGTGACGTCACCGAGATGTTATTCACCGCATCGCAGCACGGACGCGAAAACGCAAGTAGTTGGTCCTACGTAGCCGATTCACACGACGGACCGACTCGCGATTTCCGTCCGCGGACCCTGTACCACGTGACCGGCACGTCACCGATTCCTGCGATCCGCGCCTCGTCCGCGGACGCACGGACTGATGAAGTCGAGCGCCTTTTCACTCCCGGAGCTTTGGCGAGAGATTGACTTGAAAAGCGTTGAGTCTGCCAACAATACAATGTTGTCCTTTTATTTTTTTTCTGGACGATGAAAACAAAAATGGCTCATCGCTGTGTTTTGTACGTTCGCTGGTTAGGTATGTCTTCTAAGTACCGGCTAGCTCAACTCTCTACGTTACTTCGCATGGTTCATTTTGTCGCGCGATTCGTGCTTCCAGGCGTGAAAAAAAATGCAGACACTTCGTCCGGCTGACGCGACGCAGGCTCCGGTACTCCTCCGGGTCCGTGTCAAGATGGCCCCGTCAAAACTCGTCTAGCACGACGCGATTTAATTTATTCCATTAATGTTAGGGGAAGGGAAAAGAGAAGAGAGCTGGCGTTGCTGATTTTTTAAGTAATGCAATATTGCAATAAATTTAATAATCACTCTCTCCCCTCTTCGTTCATAACATTACTACAGTTGCACTTGTCAAGCCTCCCTCGCTCCCATTGTGCAGCCTGTCCACATGGGGGAAAAGTGGCTCCCCACATATCTTGGAACACGGGTAGTTTCCGACATTTGCAAGCTAAAAAGACATGCCACGTCACTGCCGCAACTCGGAACTAGCATGGTCCTTAAATCAGCGACGGCAGTCGTCTACCCAGTTAAGCGAATTCGAAACTAACAGTAAACGGAGAGCTGGACAAAAATTGAGTCCGTCGAAACCAGTGGCACGGATCGTCTAATCGGTGAAGGCATCGCCCCGGATAGGTGAAGGTTGAGGGATAGATCCCCGCTTCTGGCTCGATTTTTCGCCAGCTCTCATTCCCTTTCCCTTCCACTAACATTATTGCAATAAATTAAATTGTCACTCCATCCCCTCTTCGTTCACAATCTATATATATAGAGACACTTTAGGTATGATGTCTTCGATAAGCATTAAAAATCAGTGCACTTTCAGCGTACTGCTTCTTACGAAGGGCGTGGCCCAGGCGCGTTACGCGCGCCGCGGCAAGAAACTACATTGGCAGTTCAAGTTTTCGAAAAAAAAAAAAAAGTATAGACAGGTTTTACAGTCGTAAAGACAAAGAAGGTAAATACGTTCATTACAGAACCTTTTCAAAAACCCCTTAAGCAAGGCAGGGCGGTCGGCATTTGTTGGGCACAAACCGTGTGGTTAGATCCGAATCCTCACCAGACACGCCCTACGCAGCGCCTCGTGTCCAATACATCCTGAGACCGCGTGCCCAAAACAATGTAGGGCTCGGATAATTGGCACAGCAGTTACTTCAGGATGAGAACAGCAAGGCGCGTCTCATTCCGTTGTTCGTCCCTCCAGCACACGCTCGTTGCCTCATCCCCGCCGTGCTCACCCGGTCAGTAACAGTACAGGGTCCGACCGAGAAAACGAAGCGCGGTTTTTCCACCCGCAAAAACAAACTACGCACAGCCGAAAGCTGGAACTCCGCGAGAACGCGGGACGCTAGCGGCGGTGACAAAACGCGAAGGTTTGAGATTGAGCGCATGAAGTTGCCTGGATCTAAAGATAAGAGAGAAAAACAAGATTTCTTTAGGAGCCGACGTCCACCTAAACCTAATACTCATGGAGCAAAAAAAAAAAAAAAATATATATATATATATATAATATTTATATTTATATATATATGAATGCCTGTAGCATTACTTGCAGCAAAAAAAGAAAAAAAGAAAGGTTCGTCACCCAGAAAGACGGTATTGCCTACTTTCTAACAAGATTTTTTTTTTTTTATACGCACATAAATGATACCGGAGTTTACAACGCCATTTCTTGATTTGATGAATAGTAGGCTTAGATAAACTCCGGCTCATAAAAAAAATGTTGTTTATCTCTCGTATCCCTTGATCCAGGTATCGCCACGTTCTCAAACGTTCGCATTTTGTTTTTAACCACTGCTGGCGTCACGGTCTCACAAAGTTACAGCGTTTTGCGATGCGTAGTTCATTTTCACGGGGCCATAAAAACCGCGCTTCATTTCCTCGATCCACTCCCAGCGGGTGGTGCGCGCACTTCTTAAAAAAGGCTCTATTTTGAGAACAGCGGCCACGAGATTCGATGCTCACGAAATGGAATATGGCCCTCGAGCCTCTCGCTCCTCCAAGTCCCTCCCCCCTCATCCCCATCAATCCTCCTTTCCCACCACCCAATTATCACGCAACACCTGCAGCCCCACGCGCATACCCCCTCCCCCCCCCCCCCCCCCCCCCCCCCCCCTTCCACACACTACCCAAAACACCATACAGCCGCCTATAAGGAGAATCAAAGAGCCACGTGCCCACGTACCGCCACCGAGTCACGACCCCGCTCCACTTCGGCGTGCACAGCGCCATCGCCATCAACGCATTTTCAAAAATAACAAAATAAAAAGGGGGAAAACGGGGCGAGGGGGAGGAAGATCGCCGAAAATCACCGGGGGCGATCACGATTCCCTCCGAAAGAAGGGAACGATCGAATCGCGTCGGTGGGTGGGTTAGGCTTAGGCGGCGGGCGGATCGAGGAGTGTGTGTTTCGGCTGGCAACGTTGGAGGAATGCGGGCGGGAGTGGCGGCCTCTCCCGGAAAAGGGAGGGGACGGCGAGCGCGTGGCAGCCACGCGCCGCCGCATACCGGAAGTGACGTTTATATCCGCACCGATCGCTTTACACCGCGACGCCAAGTGGGGAATAACGGCGCCTCTTTTTTGGTTTCAAGAGTGATACAGTTTCTTAAATTTTGTTTTCTTTATGCTATAGAGAGCGAAACATGTTATTGTGTTTTAAGCACAGCGATGCTATTATTAGTCCTGAGCTATTTTTAAGCAACTTTTGAAGCAGCGAAAAGTCCATAGTGGAGGATAAGCGCACGTTTCATTTTCTTTGGCACCAGAGCGAATACCATATGTTAAGATTTATGCGTTTATGTCTACCGTGATTTCCTGCTTCTGTGCAACATTTGGGTCGCATCACCAGCACGGCAGGTTCGAGTCCCTAGCTAACAGTTTAAATGCGCGTGGAAGCGCAAGGCACAGTAACGATGCTGATTGATGAAAGGCGGTAAAAAATAAAATGTAAACCAAAGAGTATATTTGAGTGAAATAATATTAGAATATAATAATGTCGAGCACCCAAATTGGCGTATTTTTTGAGTTCTGAAGGTTGTAATAAAGCTGGAGTTCTTAATTTAGATAAAAACCAAAGCTTTTCGCGTTTGATTACGACCATCAATTACATTTTATAACAGAACTTCATGAAAATAATAATAAAAAAACAACAGAAAAACGGCACATAAACAATAAACGTGCTTCCCTAAAAAAATAATTAAAAAAAATAACCCGTTGCAGATGTTTAGGTTATTCCTAGGCTTTCATTTACCACCCCAGCTAACTTAGTTTTATTCTAATCTATTCACTGTGCCATCGAAGGGATCGAACCTTTGACCAGGTAACAACTAAACTGTAGCTGACATAAAAATAAACAGGTAGAGCGGTTCACGAATGTTTTCTCGCAATACTGATGTAGCCTCGATGAATCTCGAATGTGAAAAACAAAAATATAAATATCCTCAAAATACCGCGCTCTATCTCGCCGCAGCTTCCTTCAAAAACCGTGTGTAACGTCCAGCTCTGGAGGAGGGTTTTCCCCTTAGCACGCGGGTGCGCTGCGGCAAAGGAAGATATGCAAACTTGCGACGCCTACTACGCGTTTGTTGCTTCACAGTAGTACATCACCGCGCGGTGACAAGCGCGCTCAACGCTGCTAGACTATCCACGGTACCCGGCCGGAAGAGACAACGAGCGTGGCAAATATTGCAAAACTTCCGAGTACTTGTCGACGTTCGATACAGAGATCAAATACAACATGATGTTATATAAGACGATAATCGAAAGTTTTGGAAATTTGAACGAGCAAACTGGGACGACACGGCCGTGTAGCGGGGTCTGGTTTATTATATTTTTCGGTCTTCACCGAGTGAAAATAAGTTTTGGCGGAGTGCTGGCGCAAATTCCTCACAGCTCGGCAAAACATATGGCTGGATGTAGCAGGGTAAGACCTTTGGTGCAGTTGGGTGCAAATGGAGCAGCGATCGCTTTACTCTAAGCTCCAGGAAAGTCCGGGCATACTGCGCAAGGTGGAGTTGGAACAAACTACACCGAACGACGATCCCTTACACGTGCAGCGTCCTTTGCGATTCCTGCAGGCAACGGATTTCCCCCTTTATCTATCGCACTGATATGACTGATTCGTGTCATTTTAGAGCCGTAAAAGGAATATTTGGAACACAAGCACACACACTTTGTTCTCATTTATTCCACAGCGAACACTGTTCTAAAGAGGGCCGCTCAACGATGTTGGGTAGGCATGCTTCCCACTTCGCACAAGCTTACCGGCACCGGTGGGACCCCAAGATACTCGCACGCAAAGGTCACTAACCAAGAAGCGTCTTCGTCGCGGCGTAATTTAAAGGATAAAGACAGTCTTTATTATTTTTTTTCGGTCCCTCCTTTGCTAGATTTGACGACGAACTGGTGGGTACCAACGTTACTAGATCAAACTCAGTTGACAAGCTTCCTAGAACGCCTGGCGCCTTTTATTGGCGCTCTTACACACCATCAGCCCGCCCAATGGACAGAAGCGGCGAAATCGGTGGAACGCTGAACGCACATTACCAGCGATGGAAAAGGATCCTATCGTGGTTCTTATGGTAAACGTCGGGCGCAAAAAGAGCGTCCTTCGAAAACGGTCCTTCTCTGTGGCCCATGGAGGCGTCGACGGCGGTGGCGCTATAGGAGCGCTATCCACCCGTCTTCCTGCTCGCGTGCGGGCAACAGAGAAGAACCGATTTCAAACGCAGCTCTCGCGCGGAGCTTGCCAAACTGATAGATCTAAGAACGACGGTGGGGACCACCGCATTGTGGGCGTTGTCACAACGATGCGATCACCGGGGGTGCGCCATCGAGCCTCGAGAACCTTGCGGTGACGATATTTCAATGCGGCTTGTACAGCGGGCACGAGCACTGCGCGAGCATTCGATTCGGGATAGTGAAGAATCACGCCTCGACACGCATACAGGTAGTGGCGTGTGCCGAATCCCACCGATGGCGAGAATAGCCGAACCTCCACGATGTGTGGAAGACCAGCGTACACTGTGATTCGCAAACCCCAGCCCGTGGCTATGATTAACATCGGCGGCTCAATATCATCTGGATGCCTGTTCTGGCTGCAAATTCAAAGAAATAACGCTGCTCGTTTTTTTTTTCTTTTTTTGCTTCTTTTTTAAATTTGTTTTTTGAGATTTGTTGTTCGGGAAAGAAAAAAAAGCGAGTTGAAAGGGTTATGAATGACAAGGACTAATTCTACGCGGTATGAATAGCAAGGACTAATATCTACGCGGTCAAGCGAGAAAGAGAAAAAAAAAAAATCCATACTTCTGGTGCAAGGCAGCATTGTCAGAACATCACTCACTAAATTTAATCTACATAATTTTAATCCCCGATACGTGCGCGCGAACAATACTCAACGCAGAAGTGTTTTTCCCCCCGCGCACACGGCTGCATTGCGGTGAAGCGAATAACGCGCGGATCGCAGTGTCCCCCCTGCAAATGTCGCTTCTCCGCAGCGCACTAGTGCGCGGTGTGAAGCACATTCAACGATGTTAACGAGCCCCATCGAACGGATTATAAAGAGTCAAAAATACTGCAGAATTTCCGAGTACTGCCAGTGTTCGCTACAAATATTAAATCTAATCGTAAAGCACTCGGAGAAGAAAACAAAACAAATTCACGCTTGACTACCATAATTATCCAGGAGTAGTGAGCAGACCTGAACGGTAGTTACTACAAGTAATCAAATTACTTCTAATCGATTACTGTTTGGAGTAATTTTGTAATCATTTCATTACTTTTCCAGTAACGGTTACTCTTTTCAAGTGACAGTCAATTACTTTTCTTTTCAAGTAATCTAATCGAACACTTTTGAACCAAGAGTAATTGTAATCGATTAATTTTTTCTTCGAGTAACATGCATAAGAGTGGTAGCAAGACCTGCATTCGACTTTCCGGCACTTAGAAAGCGAAATTAACTTCTGTTAATATGTTTTCGCAAATTCCTCAGACTTAGGGGAAAATGCACCGGGATGTAGCGAGGTAAGCAGCTTGGCAAAGTTTGTCGGGTCACTGCTATAACCATGCGAGCTTTTGTACTTCATCTGTTTTTTTGTTTTTGTTCTTTTTATGAAAAAAGGAGAATCTGGAGAAAAAAGGACGCTTAGTTTACAGAAATGTAAGAAGATCATTACGCGCACGCCTTTCGGTTTCTTGAACGAGCTGCAACTATCGCAGCTTACAAGGAGTTACCGAAGAAAGTGAGGCACTACGGATAAAAAGACAAACCAAAATGAACAGAACCAAGACTACACCCGAACAAGCGAATGAAACCAGATACAGCCAGACTACATCGCCAGAACGACGCAATACATCGCGACACAACAACCAACGACCCAACCATCGATCATATTCCGCAAGCCCGGCAAGGTTCCCTATACCATATACGCTCGCACCGCTCGCACCGCGTGCTTTTCCCCCAGTCCGCGGCAAAACCAGGTGACGAACCAGCGACGACAAACACCGAGGAGCACAAACCGACAAACACGACGAGTCCGACCCGAAAAAAACCGCACGAAATAAAAGAAACAAAACAGCCGGCCGATGCCACCAAACAACCACGTGGTGCTCCGTTCGGAGCACACCGAACAAAAAAAAACGGGCCGGTCGAACCGACCAAAAGCGACGCCCGGCGGGGCACTCCCACACAGCTCGCGCAAAAACATCGGCGAGCCGGTGTTCTTCTCGGCCGACTCGCTGCTAAAGACCGCGGCTAGCACCGAACAGCAGATGTGCCCCACCAACCAGCGAGCAGACACATCGCGCACAAGAAGACATGCAAGGCGGTGTCCAGTGTCTCTCTCCCCTCCTCCCTCGGCTGGCTTGACCCAGATTCGCGTCCAAGCGTGCAATATGGCCGCGCGAGATGACGAAAAAGCGTTTTCTCTTTCAGCCAGCCGTCGGCATCCAACTCGTCAACGGGAGATGGCGTCCCCACCGACTCACAAACATCGCGCACACAAAAGGAGGCGGACCGATGAAAAGCGGGCAGGGATGACCGACCGCCTTGCCGATGGCGAACATGCAGCAGGCCTCCCGTAATCTAAAATAATAATAAAAAAAACACTGCGTTTAGCAAATCTACCGAAAGTAAGAGCTGGGGAGATCCCCAGACGGTTGTAGCGAGGCGGCAGGTTCGGCGAAAAAATATGGAAGTCCTAGCTGCCCTTCCAAGACCACAAAAAGAAGCGTTTAGTGAAGTATGACTGAAAGTAAGAGTTGGGACCCCCAGACGCTGTAGCGTTGCAGGAGAAATATGGATGGTGCACCCTCCCCCGCAGTACCATGGTATATCTGCTCCGCGAGTTTCTTTGTGACGGCCCCGCGCATGTCCACGGGCTGCCCCCCGATCAACAATGGACACTGCGATGGGTTGGGCCCACGTCGCGGATATAGTTTCCGGGTTCCTGGGCGGCCGAGCGTGCCAGCGCGAGCGCACCCTGTAGGCGAAGGTGTAAAGTGTGCGCTCGTGTTCGCCGGTTTCTTTTTTTTTTTTTTTTCGCACGGACTTTTCCTATGGTGCTAATGTACAGCCGCGTGTGACTGCTAGCGCGAAAACGACTTCGGCACTTTTTTTTTACTTGGAAAGTGTACTGGCGGTCATCGAAACTTACCAATTCGGTTCTTACACCAACTGAGCATTTCCTGAGAGGAAAAAAAGAAGCGGGCACGGCTCGGTCGCGTTAACAGTGCCGCAGCTGACATATATTCGTGCAGTGATGCAACCGGATTCTACGGAGCACCCGAATGTCCGCTAAGGCGAAGCTGGAGAATCAGAGCTCCGGAGCGTCCAAAAGAATCTGGTCCCGACTCAAATTCGGCTCACTCTAAAGTTCACTTATACGGATTATCCCCAGTTTCACTTAAATGGACAACGTTTACGTGGATGCCACGGCTACAGATCGCCGATGCACTGTAGAGATTGGCATACAGAAAATACAGAAAATACAGAAATACAGGCATACAGAAAATGATGCTACCGAGTGATCTGAAGGAATCACTTCCTCATACGCACGTTGCCCGGACCATACTGTTTTTTTGGGTTTTTTTTTTAAAGCAAACTTTTGCGTTAGCAGAATGGAGACATCGTGTTTTCCCTTACAATCAGACACTCAAACCAGCAGCACGCACATGCAGAGCAGCAGGCAGCAGGCTACGGGTGTCCTAGTTGTCCTCGAGTACCAAGGCAGTCACTCCGAAGTTCAGGTTCTCAGGATCGCGGGAAATGTATTCCTTGCACACCTTGCTCGCATCCTGAAAAATAAACAAATAAAATGGTTGCGAACTATACACTGTCAGAACCCTGCTTCCGAGACATTTCCCCCAGTTTCACAATACATTATCTATCGTCGTCAACTGGAAAAGAATACTGTAAATTGCTTAAGTTACGAAGGACCTAATTTTCGAAAAATTTCGCGAGTCGAACATTCTTGCGAAAAGATTGATGGCACGAACACATCATCACATATGGTACCGAATACATACATCGTGCCATTTCCAATCGCGCGATTTCGAACACGCGAAACGTTCCCGGAACACGTACTTTGCAAACTTTTCGAAATTTATCGACCTCGCTAAAATTAAGTCGTTTAGGGTAACTCTATTCAGGGAGTTCTCTGCCAGTCGGCACAAAAGGGGTTGAGTACGAACTTTGATACAACAAAAACTGTAATTAACTTCTTTTGAAAAAAAAAAAAAAAAGAAAGGCAGTTTGTAATAAAAGTATTGTCTCTTCGGGATAACACTGTCAACCGCCGTGAGTGGACGAATAAAATGTTATAACTAGCAATATAATTACACGTGTTGTACACATTCCTGAAAAAGAGGAACCAAAGCTCGTTCCTCGTTCCTTCTGATTTTTGGAACAAGTTCCCATTGCACGTTCCTGTGAGAAAGGAACTCGTTCCTGTTAAAATTTAAAAAAAAGGAACGTATCACTACATATACGTCACATTTGTATTTTGTTAACATATTTGATATTGATCACACATTGTGTTTTTTTTTTTCTTATCAAATGGCAACGTACGAATTTGAATACCGTCGTGGAGGGACACCAGGAGAAGAAAACAAGTGGAAGCAAGGTTTCATTTGTTGATATATCCACCTTTAAAAATCTTAGCCTTTCACCCTATTTATGTTTGTGATGAGCGATTCGGAAGAGCCAAATGAACGGTTACCCCACATTGCCCGAGCGTTCTTACAACGACCTCACAGGTTTCAATCTAACAAAGTCCCTTGTCCAAAATAACGACAGTTGCTTCTCGATGCTGCTGCCCGCAAGTCGAGCAAGTGAAGAAGAAGATGATATATACTTTTGGAAGGTCAGTCTTAAGAACTGCCTGTCGTTCTTCGTGAAGGTTGGATTCGTTCAGTTTGAAAAGAAGAGAGAATAAAGGTTAATGTATGTGTATCTTCTTAAGTGACCAATGTTCGCGATACAAGGGTGCGTTCGGTGTCTGGTAACCCGTTCTTTTGTTGTAACTGTAGGTCTCTTCGTGAAAGTTCAGTGATGGCTGTAGTCGGCCTTAGATTTCTGCGTGCATTCGTGTAAGCGAAGAAAGTAGCTGAATTTGGGACGTCCCTTTTTCTGTGTCTTTTCCTTCGACTAAAAGTTTTACTCTTTTGCACCGCAGTATTTGGCACTGCAAGAAGAATTGGCATCCACTAGCTCTCCTGCACCCGACAGTTACCGAGCGAGGACCTCATAAAATAAACCCTAAAATAAGCAACAAAAAGTTAACGAGATCCTACTCTTCGTAAAGATATTGTATTATACTTTTTTTATAGTTTCCCCCTTAAGAATACAATAAAAATAAGCCCTCAGGACGAAAAAAAAACCATAAAAGCACCGTTCCTTTTTTCGTTCCCGGAAAAGAATAACGGCTTCCCGTTCCAGTTCCACCGATGCAAACTGTAATGGCGGCGTTTCTTCGTTCCACCTTAAAAAAGAACACGTTTCTAGGAACGCCGTTCCGTACAACACTGATAATTACGCAAACAAAAAAAAAAATCATCTAATTCATACTTTTCAAGATAATAGATTCGCTGCCTGTCGTCCGAATACGCTATAGCTAATGTCAGAACTCGGAAAATTCAATTTTTCACGGCCCTACTCAATGTCAAAATTAGGCTGTCTACAGTCATTCATACCGAAACAATAAGGGGGGAAAAGGAGCAGAAAGCTGCATGCCAGACAAGAGACATCAGTGGGACGTGTCTTTCCCCTCAAACATAACCCGCCGGAGTCGATAACGTCGTCATCAAGGAATCTCTGCTGTATCTCAAGCTGCTTTTTTTTTTTTTTTTTTTTTTAAATTATTATTGCGATATTACAGCGACGTTCCTCCTGGAGCTACTTTTTCAGCTTTCTTAAGAATTCGTATTTTGCCTGGACGGTTATTCTGAGGAGAGATGCCACAACACGAAAATATGTAACGTCACCGAGAGATGTAACGTAGCGAACGGAGCCCGTACATCCATTTCTCGCAGAATTTGGAGGACAACGCTTTCGTTGGAGCCTCAGCATTTTTACCGCGTTTGCTCGATGAACGTGTTAGGTGCCGCTCGGTGCCGGTGAGGTGTCGCTTGTTGGCATCCAACTGGGAAGTTACAACGACCGTCTATCCATTCATGCGAAAGTCTGTCACTTTGAGATTTAAGCTGCTTATTTGGTAGAATAAAAAAAAAATAAAAAGGTTGTTTCCCCAAACTACACTCCGTTCACAAAACTGCAGTGTGAGCTACGTGCCAGCCGGATCATGACCCAGCTCTCTGCACCTTGGTAGGGCCGGCAGCGTGATGACGTGGCTCGTTTGGGCGAATACCAGCTGAACATACAAATATCAGCCATCCAACCAGCCATCCAAACGAGAGAAACCAATCGTACGAATGAGCGAAACCGGCGGTTGAATGCGTATTATTATTTTCTCCTCTCATACGTATATCGATGGCTGATATTTGTACAATCAGCTGGCTTAGCCCAAATATGTATCACCAACTAGCTCAACTTTTCCCTGACGTGGCATGGCTTGGCGCAAGCTCTAGAACGAGACTACGATCGACTTCCTCCCACCGGAGCGGAGCAAAGTGCAATCGCGCGAAGGGCGATCCGTTTGGAAGACAAAAAGATACGCCTCGCAAATTAGCGTTTGCTCCATCGGAGACGCCCGGGCGGCTCCGCTATTGGGAAGGTGGACATACCTTGACGCCCCGAGCGGTTAACTTTAGAACTACACGGATGAAGACAACAAATACAATGACTCAGCGCTCGGCCGACATAAACGAACGCGGCGTCAGCGTTCGGCTGGAGTTCGTGTTCTCAGGTGAGTGGGAGGAGGGGCTCCTTTGTTACCACTCCGGCCGGCATAAACAATACAGCCTACATGATGCCCAGCGCATCACAAAAGCCGAAGTGGGTCAAGCTCGCATTCTCCGTCGATTGTTAGTATTCTTAAAGTACACTGTGCCCCGCGCTCTATTGTAGAAGATGACATGCACATGCCCATAAGGCCTGTGGGGATGTGCGCAGCCTTGTGTTGGGTAAACACCAAGGTGTGGGGACAACAAGCGGGTCAGAGCGCCCCCTATAGTTCGATCTCCTGCCCAATAGTTCCGGCAGACTTCCAGCAAACGAAAGTGTCGACGAAACGCACGTCGATGAAACACCGTCCACAAAACGTGTTCCCAAGAAGCGTCTTTCGACGAAACAACACGGACCCCGACGAGTCGGGGTATACACTCGTTCCGCGATCCTTATCGGCTCGCTGCCTCCTAAACGGACTCGCTACCGACACCGTCGAGCGGCACGGCATCGGACAGCGCGCACCGCACCCCTATCTTGCGGAGCCCTAGAAGCCACGGGCGAGCGTTGTGCGGCCACCAAAGGGCGGCTGCTGAACCGGATCTTCGAAGAAGCTGCCCGGTGGTAGCCGTTGCCGTCCTGCTGCTGTCTCCCCTCGGGAAGGAAGGCAGCAGACGAGGCGGGCGAAGTAGGCAGGTACGTTCTCCCGCTGGAGCGACCAATAACTGCCTCCGTATTTATAATGAAGCCAGCGCAGCGCGCCGCGTACACTCTCTCGCGTGCTTGGCAAGAGGGCAAGGTACGTGCGTGCGTCTGCGTGTTTGTGCGTGCCGCAATCCGCGCGTATCAAAATGTACGAGAACGCAGGAGACGGCTCTGGCATAGCCTCGGGGCGCAACTACGGGTCAACGCATAGGGCACACACACGCTTGCGTGGACCTCTCTCGGGACGAGCTTGTTGGATCTCTCGGAAATTAGTCTGCTTCGCTGCTTTGGTTGTTGTTTTCTTTTTCTTTCTCGCCTCCTCTCGGCTGCTTCGGGTTTGAAGTGTACCTCGCTCCGGTTCACCAGGCTTTCGCGTGTGTTGTCTCGCGTTGGCTTTGGATTTTTTTTGTTTTGTCTTTTGGCTCGGCTAAAGCTCGGCTGCTGTAGCTGCCACGGATGGTGATCGTCTCGGCTGCAGTTGAGCCTGCGCGGCGTAATGAAATGTAATGGGACCTGGTTTGCTTTGCTCCCTGCCTGTTTTATTGTTTTTTTGTTGTATACTGGTGTTGTGTTGCGCGGGGTTTGCGTGTTGCGTTAAGGGGGGGAGGGGTATTTTCTTTTTGTCTTAGTGCTGCGCATGCGCACCACGCACCCGGATGCGCTGGGCACCTGCCGCTGCTGCTGCTGTGTCCGCCCCCCTCCCCCTCTCGATCCCGCCCCCCCCCCCCCTTCCCCCTGGGGGGCATCCACGTTGCTTCTGTGGCCCTTGATATGTTCTCTGCAGCGTAGCTTCTGAAGATTGTCTTCACATATTTTTTTTTTCTTTGAGCTTTGTTGCGTGGGTTGCGTCGTCGGAGAGCGAAGGAAACGTACCTGGAGAGATGCGAGGAGCGAAAGGCCATCGCGAATATAAGCTCTCGTTCGGGAACGTTTTTTGGAATGAGAATTTTAAAACCCGCGACGTTCTTAATTGTTCTTTTTTATTATTATTATTATTAATGTTTCGAGCTTCCCTCGCTTCGCACAGTCCCGACTTGGTCTGTGTAGCGTTGGTTTGAAAACTGAAAGCGCGCGTGAAGTCGGAGGCTCTGTATGGAGCAAGGTTTTCTTTCTTTTTTTTTCTTTCTCATATACATCATCGCTCCTCTTCAACGTCTGCTGAAATTAGAGAGTTTTAGAGAAGCGTTTTTGTACATCCGATAGGGTACGACGGTCCCTCCGGTACAAACTGCGCATGCGCGAATCTCATGCTGTAGCACATTCGTAGTTCGTTCCGGAGGGCCCACC